AAAAAAACTTGGCGATAAATTCAATTTTGGAGTAGAAAATGTACATGCGTTTGGTGAACCAAAATATGAAGACAACGTACAGTAATCATACATAAAGTAATATGAATAAAGATGTGGAATAATGAATAAAGAAGAAAATTAACAAATTATGTAACCAAACATCTTGATATACAACTCAACTTCATAAATAAATGCATTGGTAGATAATAGACATATTAATAAATAATAAGATGCATGGATAGAAAAATATATGTGACACATTGCATTAGAAGGACCACCTGACCAATTGAATGATTAAATAATTAATTACCAACAGGGGGGAATGTAAGATACAAGCGTTCCTTACCGGTTTGGTTTTTCTTAATTCTGCATTTCTTTGAATTTGATTTCAACTTGCATAACCATGGCTRTCTTSAAATCAAACTTCTTACAGCACGGTATAAATTGCATATCTTATTTGACTTTGTAGCATGCTAAACACACGAATAAGAACAAACAAACAGACAAACAAATTACAATACCATAATACAAACAAACATATGAACACACGTGATTGAAAAAAAAAAACAGCACATACATATGATGAACAAAAAAAATAAAGAACAGCGCATGCTACAAAGTTAAATAAGATAACACAATTCTACCAAGGCTGTAACAATCTGGCCTAAGGAGAAGTAGTGCAAGAAAAACTCAAGCCGRCAAACATGTGGCACCAATCACAATCAAACCATGTCAGAGCCTCAACGTCTCATAGTATGACTGCTGCAGCATGAATCATCCTAAGCATCAACTACGATCTACCCATCTAGCAATTCATTGAGCAACAATTGATCAGTTTTATCAATCAACTAGATAATCGACCAATCAATCAATCGATCAATCTAACCCATCGATCAATCTACAAGGATCAAATTACTAATCAATTTCTCATTGAATCAAACTATCTACAATCACTAATCGATTTGCTGAAGTCTGTAAAAAGATGTATCAACTATCAATCGTGTTTATCATATCCCCTATAAACTAGAACCATCTCGAAATCAAGATACTCATCTAGAAATCAATCTTTAAATACCTACATCAAGCTATCAATCAATCGGATTCAATCTACATCAAGTCCATACCATGAAACATTGAGGCCCCAACATTGCCCAATCACTCTTGGTTGAGTTGAATTTGCACTACCTACCTTGAAGCCAAAAGGGTTTGTTCTTCATTCACATTATGCATCTGGTTTAGGTTGTTACGCATCCATCCTTGCATTCATCCACCTTTCCATACATCCATCCAACCATGCATTCATCCAACCACATCCACTCACCAATACACACATCCACCTGTCTACCCACCCATCAACTCATCCACCTATTTTTTCATCCTTTCATTCAAACATTCACTCGTCCAACCACTCACTCAGTCATCCATCCAACCACACACCCACTCATCCATTCATCCACATTTCTATATATCGACTCCCTCCTCCCATCCCACCAACCATTCACTAACTCATCTACTCATCCACTCAGAGCATCCAACAACCCTCCAACTCCTCAAAGCATACATGACACCCATACACTGACTCCTCCAACCACCCACGACATGTGTGCAAGCATTCTCGTCATTTGATTCTCCACATTGTTAGTTTGATGAGTAAAAACTCACCCGTCACACATCTCAAACCTGGTCTCTTTCATGCTAACACCTTTTGTCTTTCAACAACTTCCTTCTTTCACCTGTACAACGGATCCAACATCATAAATTATGGCCACATTACATAATGAAAGGAGAAAGAAAATTTTGAAAGGCGTGGTTTTCAAAAGAAGGTGAGTTGTGAGATATACAAAATGATTGCTTAGTATTTAGAAGGGTCATACGAAATAATTCACAAATCTTAGTACCCCTGGTTCAGTCCCGACTCCCGTCCCAAGTCCCAATCCCGAGTCTCAGTCCCAGTCCCAAGTTCCAGGTCTTAGTCCCAAGTCCCATTCCGTGTTCTATTAGTGGCTCCAACCATTTGAAAATATTCACGAATACTCTACAAGAGCAGTTTTTGCATGTACCATGAATGGAAAGGCCTCGGCAGGTTAGTCAAAACGATCATGGTAGGAAGTTCCTAATCGATAACAGTTATGGGTTGAAGAGTCCATCTTCCGATGGCACCACAAGCTCACATAAGTCTTTAGGTCAGGTGTCGGTCCGTCCAACCAAGCAGCCAGGTCCAGGGAGAGTTTGTAAGCTTCCGAAAGCAGCGAACTAAGGCAAGAGGACCAACCCATAACCAGCAGAAGATGTCCAGCAGGCGGATCCATAAGTATAAAAGCCCAACAGCACCCAGACGCCACAACAATATGCATCGCGCTCAATGCGGAACCACTGTTGTGGTCTTGTGCATTGGRGAGGTGACTGAGCRAGTGAGAGTGAGTGCAGAACAGTGTAGTCAACGACGATGGGCATCATAGCCATAACTGTAGTATGRGAGAGAGGAAGTGAGGGAGAAGGRAAGACATTCTGAGAGACAAACTAGGAAAYGAGTTGTGTGGCTTGTTTAGCAACACAGTGAATACGAATATCGCTCGTACATGGAAAACAGAGGCAGCGTGCTCAGCCCATAAGTTTAAGTAAACGGCAATAGAGAGATTGGATGGCGAATGGAAATGCAGATGGGCAGAACGCGTAACTACATCTATGGATTGTGGTGGATGGAAGCAATAGCCTATGGACTAGCTATCACTTTACTTGGCCTCGAGAGATCCTTAAAACCACTTCTTTGCAGAACTACAACTAAAACCTCGTTTTGGCACTGATGTAAAGTGAAAGGATTTCAGGTCTCATCCAACTTCCCTACTGCGGTCCGAGTGTCCTAGTGGTCCCATTCCCATCTTCTATAGCCAAACTGGTAGGCCTTGCGGCCAAAGCACCGATTCAGCCCCACAATAGTTAGGAGTCCAGTTTGTCCGGTACTGGACAGAAAAAGTCCAAGTGTCATTATAAATGTAGCAGCAGCATCCAAGAAAGGCCCTTCGACTTTCGGAACCCTCACAATGACGACTAACAGGCCCTCGAGACTGGTACCGGTCTGGAGTCAACAAGGAAGCTACAGTACCTAGCCGACTCAGTTGTTCATTGGCATGTTGCAAAAGCATTGGTGAACGCTTGTGCGCCGGTTCCATGCAACTGGTCAACCAAACTGTCAAAATACCCGAGCGAGTAGTCGATAGCATGTGTGGGGACACACACACACACACACACACACACACACACACACACACACACACACAGAGTGAGAGAGACAGAGAGAGAGAGAGCTAAGGGTCAATACAGCAAGGCAGAGAGAAAGACAAAGAGTGAGTACCTACCTCGATATGAGTCTGTGGCAACCATAGCCGTTGAAACCTGTGTTCAGCAACGTGCAACAATGTTATATTTTTTAAAAGGGCAATGGCCTTGAGATATATTCATCGGACTAACCAGCACAGGTGACCACCGGTTACGTGCGCGCAAGCCCGGCTACGGGTCGGCACTGCACTGCCTTCCAGAGATCACCTCTCCCAAGCGCCCGCGCATCCCCCGACACCTCGCAAAAGAGGTCATTACTGCTCTATCCAGCAGCATTGCCACATTGCACGCTAGTGCCCAGTGAGCCTCTCGCTGCCAGGCTCTTTCCTATATGGAAAGCATCCTGGCCCAAAGGTTGTCTGGACTGGGCGGCCCGTGTGCTTCACGTTGGGCCAATGTGTCTGCGCCCAGGCCCGATTCAAACAGTGGTCTGGGACTGAAACAGTTAAGGGATCCCAATTGCAAGACGTGGCATGAGGTGTTTCCTGCGTCATGATTGGTTGCAGGCCCCGGTGGGCGCCAGATAGTTACTTTGTGCAAGTTGGTTACAAAAGCCCTGCTCGTGAGCATTGTAACTTCCTTGACCCTTCTAGGCTCCTCTTGGCTTGATGTGGAAGCAAGCTCAGGGGCCTGCCTTCACTTAGGGCGGGCACGAGGCTTGCGGCAGGGGGCCTGAGATGGGCATGCAGAGGACACAGAGGTAAAGTCAATTGTGTAATCTGACAGGGTGGCCTTGGTGTTTCTATTGCCTTCAGAGGACCAGTAGCAGTCGTTCATTCTCCCATATCAGAGCATGAGGCTGCGGGTGGCCCCGGTCAGGGGACAGCAAGCAGCAAAGGGACCGAGCATCATCCGCGTGGCCAGTCACTGTGCCTCCCCAATTACTCTCCCCCTGTGAACATTGAGTTGGATCATTGCAAAGAATTAAATGATAGGTTAATAGCTTACACGTGGGTGAATTTTCAAATGAGCAAGTGGGTAAATACATGTATATGCGCTAGGATGAGTTGAAAAAGTGTACAATGGGATGGATGGGTGAACGATTAGGTCAACGGGTCAGTCTCTGAATGGGGTGTAATCGATAGGCAAATGGATGGATTGATATTGGGTGACAAGATGAAAGATCTTATGACCAAAAAGTTTGCCGGCAGCGTAACTCGTAAGACCACATCCTTCCCAAATTAACGGAAGGCTAGTAATGTTCAATCTTAACTCAAACTAACTATGACCATAAACTAAGCATTTTGTGACTTTTGTCTCATAGCAAAATTCCCCTTTCGCGTCACAAGGGGAAATATTAAATAATGTTAAAGATTTAATAATGAACTTGGAAACAAAAAATAGAAAGCTTACAATTATTTTCTAATCTTTTTTTTTGGACAGTTTCTGAATTTGTCATCCTTTGCACAGGGCTAATCTTCTCTGCATCGTCCCTATTTTAAAGAATATCTCAAAGGACTAAAGCTTGCGAAATATAAATCAATGGATTAGTTATGAAAGAGTAGAGTAACTTATTGTATATATACCTATAGAAAATGAAAGACATATCAATTCAATACGTACACACTGGAAGAGCAACTCAAGTCAGTCAATAGAAGAAATAATAATGGTGTGTGTTAGTCACTGTTAGAGGAATAAAAACACAGTCAGCTTAATAAAATAAATGTTAATCCATATGTTTGTTATTGTACAGCCTCTCATCCTGCTTACTATTACCATTTGAGATGTATAAACAGGTCTCTCAAAACCTCTACAGTAAATATTGTTTTAACTATTCCCCTCTCCACTTGCACCTGACGTACACATAGTAATACAACACGGGCACAGTTGTCACATCATAGATGAATCGATGGATAAAGTCCAAACCATCTGCAACAATGTGCTTATATGTCCGGCAACATGTCTTCATGAATCGCCGCCAATGCGGTTTGAAAAACACCTGYTTGCAACCAAATAACAATACAAAAAGCAAACCCCAAGAACAAATCAAACATCAGCATTAATCGTTCAAACATCAAAATATTAACATAGCTTAAGTATGAGTTGATAACCTTACTAAATTAATATTTCCTCATATAAACAAACAAACATAGTAAAAAACACAAATTCAAAAAAATACTAGATTGCTTTTCAGAGCGCCCGGGCACCCCAACTTATGCCCAGGTACCCGCCCGGATGCCAGCCGGGCATGACCCCCGGCCAGGGTTCCAGGCAGCCCCTGCAAAAAAAAAAAAAAAAAAAAAAAAAAAATCCAGCCAAAAGATATGTTGTGTAGAATTGCAATACAAACGACTTTTAGCTGAGGGTCGCATTAGAATTCCTCACGGAATCGGAGATAAATAAGAAAATAACAGAATCACACTAAGGCACTCCTCCTTTAAACCCCTTTGGGCCCTTTAAAACAAACTTATAGCCCCCTCCCCCGCCTTGAAAGCCAACCCACAAAAAAAGAAATGAGCCCAGATTGGGGCTCTGGGAGCATGCAGAAAAATGGAAAAAAAAAAAAAGTTCTTTTTTTTTACATGCCAGGGTGCCCAAGCGGGCAAAAAAAATCTTCCTAGCAAAAATGTACAAATAATTTGAAATAAATCACAAGAGCACTAGGATATCAGAGTGACCTGGCCTGGGCCCAAGAGAACTTGCCAGGACGACCTGAGAAAAAGTAAAGAAAAATAATATATGAAATTAAAATTTTAACTAGGCTACCAGCCCAGCCGCCCAGGTCGCCCTGTTTTCCCGGGCGGCCCGGCCGTGCAAGGACCAAGGAAGGTCCCAGCAAATAAAAAACGAAAAACAAACAATGTAATAAGCCGATACACGCCTGCCGGGCAGAATAAACGGGGCAAAACCTAGGCTACAATCCGGGCGTCCCGGGTACCCCCTACCTCGCCCGGGACCCGCCCGGGATGCTCGGTCGGGCGGCCCGCCCGGTCCAACCCTCGGGCCACCCAGCGCAAAATCGCTCGCAGGGTCCTTTCGGGGTTTTTTCGCCCCTGGGGCAGAGTTGCACCCCCCGACGGTCAACGGCCCTTGACTGGTCGGCACCTGCCTGTCGAGGGTCGGCGGCACCCCGCAAAAAAAAAAAAAATCGGTTCAGAACCCCTAATAACCCCAATGCGCAAAAGAGAGAGAGAGAGAGAGAGAGAGAGAGAGAGAGAGAGAGAGAGAGAGAGAGAGAGAGAGAGAGAGAGAGAGAGAGAAAAAGCAAATTGCCTTTGACATTTATCACAGAAACCCTTGTAGGTAATCTGAGAGGCCCTGCAAATAATAACAAGGGCCTATTCGCTGCGAACATTGTAAGGCAGTAGCACGCCGAGTATATATGGTGTAGATTCATATTAAGGTCTGTGTTTCAGCAGTTATGGGACCACTGAGCACGTGATTATCTGGGCAGTAGCAGGCCAACTCACCACGTGATTTTCAGGGCTTCCCTCCACTACTCACCAAATGTGCAAAACTCGAATGAATCTTCTGCTAGAACATGGAATTAGATGCTGCCATATGTTTTGTCTTTTGTGCAAGTGCTGACGAGTGGAGCAAGGCCTTTAGGGCCACTGATCGTAGGAAAAGAAAACAAAAAAACGAGAGGAATGAATCTTCTGCTAGAACATGGAACCATACGCCGCCGCCATATGTATTGTCTTTTGTGCAAGTGCTGACGAGCGGAGCAAGGCCTTTAGGCCACTGATCGTAGGAAAAGAAAACAAAAAAAAGAGAGGAAT